CCTTGAATGGGAGCAGGTATTTCTCCCTTTTTATTGATGATCAGACCCGGATGACCTGGGTCTACTTTCTCAAAAATAAAGCTGAAGTGTTTGGTAAGTTTAAGGAGTTCAAATCGATTGCAGAAAGGAAAAGCGGTGTTCACCTAAAGTGCTAAGAACTGATAATGCCCTTGAGTATAATTCACAGGAATTTAGGGAGTTTTGTATCTCTTAAGGGATCAAAAGGCAACTTGTTGCCCCCTACTCACCGCAACAAAACGGTGTTGCAGAAAGGAGGAATAAAACTGTGGTGGAAATAGGGAAATGTCTGATGAATGAGCTGAAGCAGTAAACACATCTGTTTACTTACTTAATCAGCTGCCCACTCAAGCCCTCGAGAAGATCACGCCATTTGAAACCTGGCATGGCAAGAAGCCCGAGACTACTCTCATCAGGATCTTTGGCTCTGTTTGCTACAACCTAGTTCCTGATGAAAGAAGAAGAAAGTTAGATGACAAGGGAGAGCCTAGAATTTTTCTAGGCTATAGTACAGAGATAAAGGGGTACCGGGTGTATATGCTGAGTTCCAGAAAACTTGTGATTAGGAGAGATGTTGTGATAGATGAAGGCTCACACTAGAATTAGGCATAAGAAAAAATAGATAAAATAGGAAAACTAGTGACAAGAGGAGATGAACCTGTACCAGCTCCATTTTCTTCTGAGTTGGAAAATAATGAGGAAGTTGGAAATGCTGGAAGTGCTGATGGAGTTAGGATAAGAAGTCTCTCTAAGATATACGATTCATGCAATTTTGCCTTTAAGGAACCTGCAACCTATTAAGAGGCAGTCATATCTTCCTCTTGGAAGGATGCTATGATTGAGGAAATTGCTATGATCACAAAGAATAAAATCTGGACTTTGATCCCTAAGCCTGAGGGCAAGAAGATAATTGGTGTCAAGTGGATTTTCAAACTCAAGTTGAACCCTGATAACTTTGTGAATTGGTACAAAGCTAGGCTGGTGGTAAAGGGATATGCCCAGACTACGGAAATTGACTTTGGGGACACCTTCGCTCCAGTTGCAAGACACGAAACCATCAGAATGATCCTAGCAGTAGGAGCGCATTCCTAGTGGCAGGTTATGCACGTGGACGTCAAGTCTACATTCCTAAACGGTGATCTCCAAGAAGAGATCTATGTTGATCAACCAGATGGATTCATAGTTGAGGGAAAAGAGGATCATGTCTATCTGTTACATAAGGCTTTGTATGGCCTTAAGGAAGCTCCACGAGCTTGGTACCAGAAGTTGGACGAATACCTACTATGTTTTGGTTTTGAAAAGAGTAAGGCATAAGCAACGCTATTTGCCAAACACGATGAAAATGGCAGGAGGCTGATCACTGCCATTTATGTGGATGACATACTGGTGACAGGAAACAATTGATGCAAAATGGAAGAATTCAAAGGACAGCTTGAGGAGATGTTTAAAATGTCTAACCTAGGTGAAGTAATATACTTTCCGAGAATAGAAATAAAGTAAGTTCAGAATAGGATTTTTCTATCACAAGTAAAGTATGCACGTGAAATCCTTAAAAGGTTTAATCTGATGGAGTGCAAAGTTGTACCTACTAAAGTATGCACGTGAAATCCTTAAAAGGTTTAATCTGATGGAGTGCAAAGTTGTATCTACTCCGTTAATTCCAAACCTGAAGTTAACCAAAGATGAAACTGGTGATAACGTGGATGAGGGAAGGTACAGGAGCTTAATTGGGAGCTTGCTGTATCTCATAATTTCAATGCCAGATATGTTATTTGCTGTGAGTCTGCTGTCACGGTTTATGTCATCTCCAAAACAATCTCACTTGGCAGTAGTAAAGCATGTATTGAGGTATCTAAAGGGAACCCAAAATTATAGAATTTTATATGAGGCAAAGGAAGAAAGAAGGCTGCTCGGGTATACTGATAGCGACTAGGCAGGGAGTCTCGATGATGCACGCAGCACTTCTGGCTATCTATTATTGTTTGGCTCTGGTGCTTTCTCCTGGGCATCTAAAAACCAAGAAGTGGTTGCACAATCTACTGCTGAACCTGAGTATATTGCTGCCGCAGGTGCTGCAAATCAAGCTGCATGGCTGAGGAAAGTAATGCAGGATTTGAAGCTCGATGCGTCTCCGCCAACCGAAATTCACGTGGATAATAAATCGGCCATAGCAATCGCTAAAAACCCAGTAATGCATGGTCGAACCAAGCACATTAATTTACAAGTTCCATGCAATTAGAGATGCTGAAAAGTGTGGTGAAATCCAGCTCACTAATTGCTCATTCGATGAGTAGCTTGCAGATATTCCGACAAAGCTACTTGGAAAAGGGAAATTCAAAAATATGAGAGAGAAGTTAGGAATTGTATGGACTGATTCTTAAGGAGGAGTGTTAGATTATTAAGAATCAGTTAAAACTTATTTTTATCTTGAATTTGAATTTCAGTTTTTTGGATTCAATTGTAACTGGATATGGTAGAATTTGAATTCAATTGTGAGCCTATCACTTCACGAGAAAATGGAATTTATGGTTGTAAACCAGCTTATTTAAGCCATACAAATAAAAATGGAAAGGGCAGACCTTTTTCTTCATTGCCTTCTTCAAAACCAACTAAGCACCGAAACAGAGGCATTTGCAGGGTTACACTCTGTTTCGGTGCCCTCTCTCTCTCTACAAAAGCTATGTAAATAGCATTTGCATACAACAAATTCCCACACGAAAATATTACAAGGAGACTAAACACGCGATCGTCACACAATGGCTGGGAAGAAGGAATCGTGCTACAATGGCATAGGGAGATCTGCTCCTGGTGTGCGGCGCGACGACGGGAAGACGTACCTGCACCCGGGAACACGAATTCACTATTGGCACGCGATGCGATGACGGAGAAGGAAACCAGAAGGTGCTGCGTGCGGCGGCGCATAGGGATTCCGATATATTTTTAAATCAAAATTCAGGTAAGAGTCGGGTTATTTTTCATTTGAGGATTCCACAATTCTTTCTAAAATAGTTTGTTAAATTAAAATATTTGTTGAAATCTAAAAATTGATTTTTATGTGTTATTTTAATCAGCAGTTTCATAAACCAGCATATGCATATTGAATAGAATATGTGTGATTCTATTAATATGTGCAGATTAATATAAGTGTGAAAAACTATATGTATATAATATGTTGCTGTGTGTTTGCGTGGTGTATATATATATATGCAAGCAGCTCGGTGTGCTGTGAATACTTTAAATATATATTAATGCCCTCCATGCATGTGTGTGTGTGTATATATATATATATATATATATATCAATTTATAGGTATATAGATGCAGGAAGGATTGTGTGTGTTCCTGTGTTATGTATATACAGATATTTGAGGGTTTGTTTATTATATTATTTTATTAGGTAAAATTAAAAACATATATATACATATAAGTAAGGTACTAGTATATATTAAATAAATTTTATGTTTTTGTATATATATCTAAATGTGTATGAAGCCGTGCGAAAATGTAAGTAGATATATATGTCCAATTATATGAGGGTAAATATGCCTCACCCGTAAATTAAGGTATGTATTTATGCAAATATAGAAGCTGCATTTATGCATATTTAAAAAATGAATATATATCTACATACTTTGTATGGATATAAGCTATGTATGTGTTTAATGTGCATAGATATTCCAAGAAATCATAGGTATTTAGTTATACATGTGATTATGTGTTTTATGTTTGCTGATATAATTATAGAAACTATGAAATTATGATAATTTTATTGCAGTAGTTTATGTATAAATGATTAATATATATTGCAAGAAAGTAGACATATACATAATTAGTATAAGTTTATTGTTGGATATAGTTGTGCTAATATAAATATATGTATGTTTTAGAATCTAATACGATATGATGATATTTATAAATGAGAATAATATGTACAGTAGTTAGATATAAATATTTTGGAATGAATAATAAAAATGATGAGTTCTTGATTGCTTTTTTTTTGTATACTTTGCGATAATGATGATGAGTATGATTGTCTTTCAAATTAGATTTCTATAAATATCAAATCTACATTTGTTTTGTAAAAATATGTATGATTGTTTGGTTGCATATCTCTGCCTGGACACTGTTCTATTCTTACTGAGTTTGTGAATCTCAACCTAATTCACACTCCCATTCCAGTGCAGATTAGTTCAGATCAAGAGCACGTTCAGGATCGAAAGAAGACTCCGAATGAACTTTTAGTGATTTTAAAAGTTTTGTTGGGAAGTGAATCTAGCTATATTATAGTGATGAGATTTAAAAAATTTTGTGAGTATCATGAATGGTAATTCTGTACAAGAGATGTATCGTTGACTTATAAATTTTAGCATAATACTGCATAAACAATTAGGTTCTATGTGTATGACAACGCTCTCCCTTAGAAGAGAAGGCAAGACGTTACATCTTTACTTCAGTTTGTTTTATGTTGAAAATTCTTACCATTCCAAAATCAGAAATTTTGGGATTCTTTTCTCTATCTAACAAAATATTACTAACTTTGAGATCTTTATATATTACTTTTAGTCTATAATGCTTGTGAAGATGCAAAAGTCCTTGAGTGATATCATCAACAATCTGAAACTTTTTACTCCAGTCTAATATTATTTTTTCATTTGGATTTGATACAATAAGAATATATATTATCAATAAATAAATTAAAAAATTAGAATTAAATTAAAAAAATTTATACATAATTAAGTCGAGTAAAAAGATAATGAAAATATGTTTAAAGTAATAAAAATATAACTTCATAGAAAATATAGTCGAAAATAAAAAAAATTATTTTAAATTTTATTAGATTAATAAAATTTTAAATCTATATTTCAATTTCACTTAAAATTTTTAAACAGGTTATTTATTATCATTTTAAATAAAAAAAAAATTGATATTTTAGAAAGAAAAGATTTACCAAATAAAAACTTGTCCAAGCTTCGATTAGGCATGTACTCAGTACACTAAAAGTTTTTCACCCTCCTTCACACAACAGCCTATGAGCCTTACGAGATTTTTATGTTGCAGATTAGCAATGAGTTTCAATTCATTCATGAACTCCTCGAGGCCTTGTGAAAACTTCTCGGATAACCTTTTTATTGCTACTACTTGATCTTGAGACAAATTTCCCTACAAAATAATTATCAAACACATTATATACATATATATGACAATTCGAATGAATAATATTAATTAAGAATGTGTATGCATATATATGTAGAACACATTATATACATCGGAAAAATTATTCGTAGCTAATAAAATGCTCTTAAAATTAAATTTCACCAGCTTCCCATCCTCCTGCCTACCTTCACTAAGTAAAATTCCTCCTAATCACATTTCTCTCTGCTCCTGCCATAATAAAAATCATGACCATAAATATTAACAATTAACAATTAACAAATCATGAGACCCATTAAATATAATTGGTTCATTTTTAAATATCTATTAAAAACTAATAATATACTAAATTACATTTACATAAAAATTATTTTATATGCTATTATTATTATTGAAAAATTAAATAAGGAGAGAGAAAAACAATACCGCGATCCCTTGAGGTCTTCCTCCGCCATAGACAATAGAAAGCAATTACAAAAATGAGAAGGAATACAATTAAGGCAGTGGATGTGGCAGCTACTATCGTCTTTTTCTTTATGAGCACACGATTATCATTCTCATATGACCCATCTGCAGCAGCATCTTTAAACAAATACATCAAACTAAATCATTACATAAATTCTACGTAAGAAGAAATGAGCAAGAAAAAGAAAAATGGTAGATAAAATCCAGCAAAAGAAATTAAACATACCAGATTTGAAGCCTGGAGATCTCTACCCTTATCATCTCCAGAGAGCAATTCTACAAGATCTAGCAAATCTCCATACTAATTCAAAAATGTAATTATATCATTTCTTCCTTCCACATCATCATCCCTAACTTTATTGTTCGGCATATCCAAGTAACCATATGCTGAACAAGAGCAATTCCGCAAACACCAGGACTGGCATGTACTCACATTCATCATCCCTGACATTATTGGTCGATGAGGAAGTTTCATCTTCTGCAACTTCAAAAACCCGTCTCTGTTGTAGCACTCTAAATCTTTTTCCACCATGCACCCACCAGACCACTCTTCTTTATCCCATTCTTGTTCATGTCTAGGCTTAGAACAAGGCAGACAATTAAGACGATTTGCTCATCAAGTTGCACACATCAGATGCTCCACAATGGCCATAGAAGTCACACATACAAGATGGTGCACTCCAAAGAGATGCCCATTCATTACTGAGCCAAAAGAGAAGCTCGATTTGTCCATCTGATGTAAACAAAACCCTGGCTTTATCTTATTGTTTTGGTGAAATAAGATTGAATTTCAGATAATGTTCATCACCAAGAAAGTTAAACATAAAGAGCGAGATATCCATATTCTTCCACATACCATATATGGAGTCTGTTTCGCTTAAACCTAACACACAACTTCTCCAATATGGTTTAGAGTTCTTCCAGATGAGGAACTCAGTAAACCCTTGTGGGTCGATTCCAACAGAAAATATTCCTGGTCTTGGATCTTGTTTGTTTGACCAAGATGATAGAACAAGTTCTTTGTTCGTTGCTTGTTAAAGCTGAGTTTCTTTCCTGTTAATGCTATCAGAAGAAGTTTTAAAAACTTTCCCACAAGGTTTCTTCGTTAAGTTGGAGAAGAAGATTTCCGTCATCTCTCAACAATCCAACTGTTGTGTTTATGGAGTGCTGCGACATAATATTTGCTGACCAGACAATCTTCCCTACACAATCTAAAATCAATATGTTGTTATCTCTGAGAGTGAATTTACCTGGAGAATCCAGAGGGGAGTCTCAGTTGGCAACCCACACAACTGTTTTTGTGGGGGATAAATCATGATACCAGATACCCACATAGCTCTTGTTGGAATCCTCCAGACTGAAGAACCCTAATGCAAATGTGCCAGTTGCAGAAATCAGGGTTTTGTTTCCAGTGATGTAATCTCCCAACAGCATATTGCCTTCGCATCTGTAAAGCATTCTGCAAAGAGAATATGTTATTAAAAATACAAAAGCAATCATGATATCATGACAACCCATTTGAAGAATTGAAGATTTTCTCGCACTAGAGAATCATCAAAACAAGGATATTTATAGTAATAATGTTCTATTTAGAAAAAAAAACGACTTCTAATTACCTCCTTGATCTTTGTAGAATGGTTTTTGTAGGATGGATTGGAAATATGACTAAAGTTTTGAACTTTACAATAAAAACTTACGAAAATAATTTATTATAGGTATTTTTTATTATTAGAATTCACCGTTCTAACAATTTGTTGTCAAATTAATAAGTATTCTAGTATGATTAAGTCCTTAATTTTCTCTTATAATTAAGTATAATTCTATTATACATGTCAGAATTTTATTGTAATCCTCCACTTAAGAATATGTAAAATAAAGTAGAACCAGTTGCTCTTTTTCTTTTGGGGAGAGTAAAAGATATTAATTGCCTAATTTCAGTCAACTAATTTAGACTCGTTGATGCGTCTATATCCTTGAAAGAAATGTGTTGTTTCTTAATGACGGTCCTTTGGTAGTTCTCATTCACTTATATCCTTGTTTTATCCAAGGACCCAAACAAGCCTTTGAGAAATCAACGATGAATTATTCGTGGCAAAAACATAAAATGGTCCATATATTAATATGAGAAAATGATTAATCTATAGCGAAAAATTGGAATTAAGTTGTACTATTGTAAAATTATTAAATTATAATGGTTTAATTGATGTAATGATTTTGAGAATCTGTATGTGGTGCATGTAATTCTGTTTCAACTATAAGTTCAGTATGTGATGCAGGTGAGTCTGTCTCTAACATGGGATCAATAAATGATGCAGAAGAAGAGGTAGACACATTACCGGAAGTGATTGGCGGGAAGAAATTGTCATAGACTCCATCATCTGCTGAAGTTGTAAACTTGAACTTGAATCTATCACTGTTACAATCTGCAAAGTAATCATCAGTATAAGGTATGTTATTGACTTCTTTTGCAAATGAAGAAAATGGGAAGGTGTGTTCAACAAAATATACAGCCCATGATACAATAATTTTTTTGAGATGTGAGGTCATAAAGTTTAAAGCCTTTTACATGGGAAGGATAGCCAAGGGAGATGCATCTAGTGACTCGAGGATCAAACTTTGATCTTTGTGCTGGATGTGCAGATGCACAACACAAGCAGCCAAAGACTCTCAGATGATTGAATTTGGGAGTAGTATTGAACAATAATTAGATAGGAGTTCTACTGTCGATGATTGGAGAGGGTATCTGGTTAATGAGACACACTACATGAAGGACACAGTCAGTCCAAAATTTCAGCGGTAGATGGGCTTGAAACTGCAATGACCTTGCTACATTTAGTATGTGCTGATATTTTCTTTCCACCAGACTATTTTGTTGTGGTATATATGGGCATGAACTTTGATGAATGATCCCTTTCTCAGCATAATAATCTGGCATGTCAAATTTTTTATCATTATCAGATCTAATATATTTTATTTCCTTGTTGAACAGCACTTCTATATATTGAAAGAAACTTGAAATTAGCTTCCTCACTTCTGCTTTAGTCCTTATGGGAAATGAACAAGTGTACAGACTCTTATCATCAACAACTGTTAAAAAATAATGGTGTCCATACAAAGAAGCAACAGAGTTTGGACCCCAAATGTTAAGATGTATCAAATCAAAATAATATTTACTTTTTGAAATACTTGTAGGAAATGGAAGTCTTTTTTGTTTGGCTAAATGACAAACATCACAATCAAAAGAGGAACAACGAAAAATTGAGTTATCAATTTGTTAGAGTATATGAAGTCTTGGCAAAGTGGCTAAGACGGAAATGCCAAAGAGTTTATCATTTATAACGTGAAAAGAGTTACTAGGATGTTTACTAACAGAACTAACAATGAGAATTTCTTGGTTCTCGGAACTTGGATGATATTGTCTGCGTCTTTTTTTAGCTATACCAATCATCTTCCAGCTTTGTGTATCCTGAATAAAGAAACATTTATTGTTGAATGACAAGCATAATGAAGTAGTTTGTATTAATTGGCTAACAGAAATGAGGTTTAATGAACAATTAGGGACATATAGAACATTACGTAAAACAAGGATAGGTGTCAAAATGCACATTTCCAGCATGTGTTGTATATACTGTTTGTGTATTTGGCAACTTAATATATGTATTACTTATAGGTCTGCAGCAAGTGAAAAGACTATTAGCCTTACTATATGGCATGAAGCCCCTGAATCTACTATCAATTAATCTATTTTTGTTTCAACAAAATGTAATAGTGAAAAAGAGTTGTTGCCTTATTCTGCAGAGGGAGTAAAAGTGGTTGAAAGGTTGCCTATCTATGACATGGAAGAGTTGTTGTGTGTGACTGTAGGCTGTTGGATTAAGGCCAGAAGTTTCTCATATTGTTCCTTTGTAAAGGCAAGAGGCACTGCTTCTGAAATGATGCACTTATTGTTGAAATTGGCACAGGAACTAGCACTATTACAACTCATGTTTGCTTCCAATTCTACTAAACAGGTAATTATTTGACTATCATTTGGGTTATTTCTTTGTCTTGATCTATAACCAGGTGGATAGCCATGCATTTTATAACACCTACCCACTATGTGGTCTACAAAACCACAGTGAGTACATGTTACTATTTCCATTTCCTATTTTCGGCAGCCATTGTGTGTCAGCCAAAGGAGCTACGGGGAGATTGTGGTGATGTGGAATGAAGATCGTATTTGATGCATGGATGTCCTGATTGGTGAAGTCTCTCTGTCCGTTTTGTTTAAGAGTTGCAGGGGAGGGGTGGAATAGGTGTTCTCCAGGATTTACTGTAGAGGCAATAAGGAGGAGAGGGAACTTTTATGGAAAGAGTTACAAACTTGTAAAATGAAATGAGGGTGTTACTGAGTGGTTGGTGGTGATTTCAACATGATTATGAAAAGAGAGGAGAGGAGTAGTGGTAACTTTGAGACTCAACTACTATGGAATTTGTTGAAGCTGTGGAGGAGCTTGGATTGGCTAATATCCCGCTTGTGGGACGGCCATGAACTTAAAAAAATCAGAGGGTCAATTCTTCTTGTTCCAGAATCGATAGATTTCTCGTTTATTCTCCTATTCTCATTTACTTTCTTGGTGTTACACAGACTCTGCTTCAGCGTGCTATCTCTGATCACTACCCCATTTGTCTCGTCACTGATGGTATCCAGTGGAGTCCAGTTCCCTTCAGGTTGGACAATAGGTGGGTACATAAGGCAAAATTCAGGGCATCAGTGGAGGAGAAGTGGAATGATTATGTGGTATCTGATACTACTTCATTCAGAATTGCACGCAAATGATATTAAAGAGTGGACAAAGGAGGAACTGAGAAAAGAAGAGGAATCTACGGGTAGCTTGCTAAAGGAATTAGGGGATTTAGATGATAAAGAAAGCAGTGAAGGTCTGGCAGTGAAGGATTGGTGCAGACGGGATGAAATAAAATTGTTGGTGGCTAGACAGGCCAAAATTGAAGAACAGACATGGAGACAGAAATCTAGGGAGAAATGGTTAAAAGAGGGTGATAGGAACACTAAATATTTTCATGCTTTAGCTAGCCACCAAAGACGATGCAATTACATTGATGAGTTGTGGGTGAAGGGAGTGAAATAAAGTGGAAATCACAAAATGAGAAAGGCTGCCATGATATACTTTAAAGAGTTATATGAAGAAGAGTTTAGGATTCAGCCAAGACTTGATGGTTTAACTTTCAAGAATATTAGCGTGGATAGCAGGAAGAATACTGAGGCTGTTTTCACTAAAGAGGAGGTGCTTGCGACCTTAAAAATGCTACAATAGTGACAAGGCCCTAGGGCCGGATGGATTCAACATGAATTTCATCCAAGTTTGTTGGGATGTGATTAAAGATGATGTTATGGATGTATTTGAGGAATTCCACCAGAATGGGAAGTTTGTTAAGTTCTTTAATGCCATTTTTTTTTTGTGTTGATTGCCAAAAAGAAGGGGCGAAGCATGTCAATGATTTTTTTTAAGTAGAGAAGGTCAAAACGATGTTGTTTTGGGAAATTAAAAAATGACACTGTTTTAATTTGAAGAAAAGAAAAAGAGAAGGAGGTGAAAACGACGTTGTTTTGATAGCATCAAAACGACACCATTTTGATGACAAAAGAAAAAAAATGAGGGAGTTGCAGAGGCGAACATGCCTATGCAAAAAGAAGAAGATGAGGTGTACACACCTTTAAAACTCACCAGAGATGGAGGAGCCGAGGTGTGGAGGAGTCTTCTTCTTCTATTTATAAGAAGAAGAAAGAGGCAGGAAAGAGTGATGGATTGGGTAAAGAGAGAGAAAGTTAGAAAGAGAAAGAGAGGGAAAGAGAAAAAAAAAATATGAAGAAGGAGATGATGGTAGCGGCAGCGGCATGCCCAAATCATTCCCGATATGCGGTAGAGCAAGAATAGAGAGAAAGGAAGAGGAGTTGCGCGCAATGGAGTAACGTTGGGAAAGGAGATCAGAGCACGGCAGCCAAGGTGTGATTTTGCTCATCTGCATCGTTTTTCAGCGCGATTTCACTTGATCTACATCAAATTTGAGTGTGCGGTGCATTCTACGACATGTTCCGATCGATTCGTGGCAGCACGCAGTCGTCCGGTGGCAGCGCGTGGCAGTTTCTGGCAGCAGAGCATGTATGTTCTGGTGACATCATGTGGAGGCATGTAACGGAGCATCTTTTCGATGGATATGCACGATTATATTTGGCACACTGGTGGTGGCGCGTGGTGACTCTGGCAAGTGGGATCGCGTGGTCAAAGTAAAACTAGTTTTTGTTGGATTCATTTCTAAAAATCTCTCATCGGTTAATACACATGTTATGTATTTATGAACGAGGAAATTAACCAAGTGACAATGAAGATTTAAAGGAGAGCTAGACCCGAGTCAATAAGAATTCTAACACTTTTTCTTATTCACGTTTTCCACTACGGGTTTTATGAACTCATCCTATTCGGATGTACACAATTCCATATGACTGGAAACTAACATGATGTTGAGTATGATGTATAATTATGTACTCATATTATTACTTGTATGTATATGCAGATTTTATGCATGCTAGTTATCAAGTTATAAATGTGTATGACACATATATATACATATATAAATGTATAATTGTAGGTTATGCAACATATATACGTAGGAATACATATACGCCTTGTGTGAACATACAAGTATATTTATGTTGTATATGTTGCGTGTTAATATAT